CAGTAGTCATGAACCATCCAGGGCAAAACTGCGGGGTAGGACAGGATGGAATTCATATCAGTGCTGCTCCCACTCACTGCTAGGCTACACTACATATTCCTTGAGCTCAGCTTTCTGAAGTTCTTCACAAAGCTCTGCAAATAAATCAATGTATGGAAAAAAAAAGAATTGCTATGAGAGAGCCTGGGATTTGTTCAAAAAAAGAAAGTTGATGTCATTTTACTGGGACTTTGGTGCCATTTTGAGTACTTTTAGAATTTATTAACTTTTGCAAATGCATTGTGACATTTAAGGCCAATTATCTCTGTCCTAGACCTACTGCCCAATCTAGCAGACTTGTGAGGACATACTGAGCAGAAATCCTGAAGCCCAGGAGAAGGTCACACTGAGCACCCCTCCTGGAAGAGGACTTTTCTGGACGTTCTGACCCAGGAGGAACATTTAAGAAGACCACAGAGGTCTTTCCTAGGTGAGGCCCTCAGCAGGGTCTCTCTGCTCTTATGAATGTGTTTCAGCATGAAGTGCCTGATACACAGAGAGGGTTTTGCTTTAGTAGAAGTGCTACATAAGACAGCAATTACAACAGAATAAAATATACAGACTATGTATTTCCAAAGAATAAGCCTCAATACACACTTCAATTACTTATTAAGTCTAGGATGGTAGATAGAGTTGGAAGAGCAGACTAATATGTGAACACCCTTCCCAGTTATGACATTGATTAGGACTTCATCTCAGGAGGCCAGAAGCGCTACAATAGAAACAAGGTAGGAAGTAGAGACTCTGAAAGCAAGGGCTGATGATCCGCATGCATCAGTGTGTACAAGAATGCACTGCAAATGCTGAAAAGTGATGAGGATTTTAATTGTTACCTCTTTGTAGCTCAGTTACTAAGATTCTTCTCCAGTGAACATCTATTTCCCCAGGTACTGGCTATATGGTATGGCGTAAATCATCCCTTTCCTCACTACTCTTGTCTGGCACAGGGAGATAGTGACAACCCTACCTCTCAGAATTGGTAAGAAAGACAGTGTCTGAAATCATGCATAAAATCTTTGGGAGTCCTCAGGAGAAAATAGATTTAACATTAGTTATGAAGAGTATAAATATAAAAGGAATAATACACATTATTTAAAATATTGGGAAGCTGGAGGGAGGGGAAAGAAAGGAATGATAAAAGGAATTAAGGTGCATTGTGTACTTGTACCAATTCCATACAAGGAATGGGAATATATTGTAATGCAAACAGGTACTAATAGAAAAAGTAAAGTTGTTTTTCTGTTTATTTTTAATCCTGTTTTTAAAAGTGGTGAGGATGCGGCATAGTTGTCTCATCTAGTGCCCTTCAAAGCTTTGTGGAGCAGTAATGAGGGACCCACAGAGAAAATGCGCAGAATCTCCATCAGCCTTTCAGACATCAAAGTGCAGGGTAAATGCAGGGCAAGAGACCCATGATTCCTAGTGCATTTGAAGGAGAAAGTCCATGCAGCCTTGAAAATCCATGTCATGCAAATGTATTGACGCAGGTAGAAAATTGTCTCCA